GCTAAAAATGAAGATTTGAAAGTCACCACGTGATAGTCAACTGAGTGACACTTCATGCCCTCAGTGATCTTAAGCCTTTGTCAAGACAATCTAGTTTTTAATTTAGGTATTAAAGACAATTACCATAAAGTTAAGTCGGAAGTTCTCTACATTGGCAACTTCCCTTGGATAAATCCTGTAGGTGTGATAATGGTAGTTTTCAATAGCTAAGCATTTATGTGGATACTGTTTCTTAATTCATAATTGTTTCATAATCCTTAATTAAAATTTCAGCACTTTTTGGGGTGCCTGGGTGGCTCAGTTGGTTAAGCGTCCGACTTCGACTCAGGTCATGATGTCACGGTTCATGAATTCGAGCCCCATGTCGGGCTCTGTGCTGACAGCTCAGAGCCTGGAGCCTCCTTCAGATTCTGTGTCTCACTCTCTCTCTGCCCCTCCCCTGCTTGTGCTCTGTCTCTGTCTCTGTCTCTCTCAAAAATAAACATTAAAAAAAAATAATTAAAAAAAATTTTCAGCACTTTTCATTCAATGGATGGTTAGAAGCCTTCCTATAATTAGATACCAGAATGTCATGAATTATGCTCAACTATGCAAGATAAAGGATCTATAATATAAAGAGCTATTATGTACCATACTATCTATATTAGTTGTCACATCTAATTCTCACAACAATCTGTACAGTATTTTATCAAGTATTCTTTTTCTTCTTAACAATTTTATGTTGTTAAGTTCAATGGTTACTTCCATGATTCTAACCTCCATAAACTCTCAGCATCATTCCATATTTGGCTACTGAAGTAGAGGGACAGAGGCCTTCTTGAAACATATTCTTCTCTTAAACTGCCTAACTCTACAATCTCCTGGAAATGCTAGTGTATTAGGAAGCTCCTTTGCTTGCTTGTGAGGCCCATGCTGGGTTAGCTTCCTGTTGTTGTCTATACATCAGTCCTAAGTAAACTCACCAGCTCCCATGACTTAAAATACTACCTAGATCAATAGTTTTCAGAATATGGTCCCTGGATGAGGAGTATCAGCATCACTTGGGAAATAATTAGGAATGCAAATTATCAAGTCCTCCCAGATGTAAGGAATCAGAAATTGGGAGGGGGCCCAGCAGCTAGTGCTTTTAACAAGCTCTTTAGATGCTTCTGATGCACTCTGAAGTTTGAAAGCCAGACTTCTAGATAAGTGTTTTCCATACTACAGGTTGCAACTTATTAAACCGTCAAGAAATAAACTGAGTTGCAAACAGCATTTTAAAAAATGAAATAGAGGGGTGCCTGGGTGGCTCAGTAGGTTAAGCGACAGACACTTGATTATGGCTCAGGTCATGATCTCACGGTTCCTGAGTTTGAGCCTCACATCAGGTTCTGGGCTGACAGTACAGACCCTGCTTGGGATTCTCTCTCTCTCCCTCTTTATCCGCCCCTCCCCTGCTCATGCTCCCTCTCTCTCTCCAAATAGATAAACTTAAAAAAAAGAAAAATAATAAAGTTCTTCATATGTTATAAAGGTAAGTACTATTTTGTGAAACTTTTATTTCAATTATATATGCATGTAAGTGTGTGTGTGTGTGTGTGCGTGCGCGCACATCTATACCCGATTGTTAAGTAATCCATAGGTTACCGTGGATCACAGTCTGATTAAAACTCAGATCTATAGGATTATATGAGCTCTTTGTATGTCTGGCTCCTTCTTGTCACTTTGGTCTTATCTTGGCCGTTGTTTCCTATTCTACTTAATGTTGACTCCTGCAAAGCATTTAGTCTCACTACTTTGTTTTATTTTAGTTATTCAGACTATTTATCAATATTTAATCTATCTCATTGTTTATAATCTTTCTCTCCTACTAGAATATAAGCTAATGAGAGAGATCTTGTTCTCTCTGTCATGTTCCCAACACCTAGAACAATCTCTGGCCACCTATAATATCCACTCAAAAATGAAGTTTATAAAGAAGTAATTACCAAAGATCACCTAAGTTAGATTGTAACTACACTTTAAAATCCTATGTGTCTCACGTCTGTGACCTAATACAATCACCACTTCCTAGTGGGCCTAAGGCTTGGATTCCAGCCATCCACTTCATAGTCCTGGACCATGGGAAAGTCAGAAAATCATACTTTCACAACTGTTAAAAAGAAATGGTTAGATTTGGGACAGTAAGAATCTGATAAAACAGTGAACCAATCTACTTTTAGTTTTGGATGGATGAGCAGAGTAGTCATTTAATAAGAGTCAAGGAACAAAGAAAAAAGCCATGGGATCCACTTCACAAAGAAATATAGGAAGCTAGAGGCTTTAGGCTCACCTACATTTAAAATGTGAACCATCTAATACCCCATATGGTTCAAACCCTTCTGAAGAAAGGGAAAGTATGCTGGGAAAATAAAATTAGGGAGCAAAACAAATGGAAAATCATATTCACAGCATAAATATATTTGCTGGAGAATCTGTGAAATGTTACAGTTGGATGACTTAAGAATTAGAAGTTTTTTCTGCATTCAGTGTAAAATGGCGTTTCCTGAACCCCACTAATATGTGAATGTGTTTGTGCACATGTATGAAAATACATGTATGCCAACTTGGAACTTTGGGGAGGGTGCTACTGTCTTATGGCATCAAAGCCATATTTACTGGATAATCTTAACCACTTTGTACCTACTTCTGCTATACTAAATGAGATTTAAGTAACAGGAAGTATAGATGATAATACAGGCTCTGGAATCAGAGTCTGGGTTCAAATTCCATTTCCACTACTTACTAGCTGTGTAACTTTGGAACACATTCCTTAATTTTTCTGAGCCTCAGTTTCTTTATTTGTATAATTAGAGACCTCACAGGTTAGTTGTTAGACGTTAACTGAGTTAATAGATAAAAGGCCTGACGTATGGACACCAGAGTGTTTACTTGATATCACATCCTTCTACTAAGCTCTTTAAATGCTTTTCTCCTCAGGTTATAACTATGCTGTGAGGAAGGTTATCATAAGACATCCCTTCCCCCACTTATAGATGAGCAAGTGTGAGCCATGAAGGAGTTAATTCACTTGTCCCTGAATTCACAAATAGAACTAGGATTAGAACATTGTCTTTATCACATGCCTAAACCAGATTTCCTAACTATGCAAATATGGGCATTCTAGCATCCTGGAAATTATGAATAACCAACAAGTATCTCCACTCTGCTGCAGCTGTCCTAACACCTATATCAGAACAAGGGATTATGGTACACATGTGCATACACATATCAATCATATCCATCAGTGTAACTCTCCAGAAGAGGTTGAGAAACACTACAGCACACTTGTCATATTTTGTTCCAATGCCTTTGTACACTCCCTTCCAAGTTGGTGACCCCAATAAAACTATATATTTCATAACAGACTCAATACCGTTAGTAAAAAGCAGTTGGCTTTTAACAAAGATTTGTGGAATAAATGAAGAAAATGCTGCACGAGAAAGGGCTCTTTAAAACCACAAAGTGCAAATCAAGTTTTTATAAAGCCAACTAAATGATTATAAACACATCTATTTATATTTTAATTCACATCTTATTACAGTATTTGGGAAAATACCGTTATAAAATCAACTTAGGGGGCACCTGGGTGGCTCAGTCGGTTAAGCGGCCGACTTCGGCTCAGGTCATGATCTTACGGTCTGTGAGTTCGAGCCCCGCGTTGGGCTCTGTGCTGACAGCTCAGAGCCTGGAGCCTGTTTCAGATTCTGTGTCTCCCTCTCTCTGACCCTCCCCCATTCATGCTCTGTCTCCCTCTGTCTCAAAAATAAATAAATGTTAAAAAAAATTAAAAAAAAAATAAAATCAACTTAGCAATAATTATTAGTAAGAGCTATAATACTTGTTGAAATTTCACTGTTTGACAAGCCAAAGGCTCTATCACCTTATTTTAATCTTCACCCCCAACCCTGGGAAGTAAGAACCATGATTTTTATACAAGAGGGCATGCTGAAGGTCATACACTAAGAAGTCCTGCAGTCAGAATTTTAACTCTTTCGATTTCTCTATCAAACTCCTTTTTTAAATCGTGGAAGGAACAAGGTTATTTTTAAAAGAACATATATAAATACGTATTTCACAAACCATAAAATTCACCCATTTAAATACATAATCCTGTGGGTTTTACTAAATTCACAAAATGTGCAACCATCATCACAATCTAATTTTAGGGTATTTTCATCACCCTCCCCAAAGGAAATTCCATGTACAATAGCAATCAGATCTAACTCTATATACTTTACATGCATAAAAGAAATGCAAATTCTTTTAACATTTATTTATTTTTGGGACAGAGAGAGACAGAGCATGAACGGGGGAGGGGCAGAGAGAGAGGGAGACACAGAATCGGAAACAGGCTCCAGGCTCTGAGCCATCAGCCCAGAGCCCGACGCGGGGCTCGAACTCCCGGACCGCGAGATCGTGACCTGGCTGAAGTCGGACACTTAACCGACTGCGCCACCCAGGCGCCCCCTGCAAATTCTTTTAAATAAAGCCTCCATTAAATACATGTATGAATGTATATTTGATACAGCTAATGCAAAGAAAATCATGAAAGGAATTCTAAAGGAGAATATGACTCCAGCCTTCTGTAATTTTGCATTAGCAACATCACCATCGGTTTGAATACAGAAAGTCATCAAGAGCTGGCATCCACATCCAACTCTGCTTATTGTGGGCAAAGTGCAAGTTAAAGGACTTCTTAGCATTTTTCCGTTCACAACCAAATAGTAACAGTAGGAGGAAATGTAGATAAAATACTGTATAACCCGCTGCCTTTGACATTCACTCTACTATTAGTATTAAAGGAGGGAAGTTTAGTAAATTAAGTGAAAAATTAAGGAGATGTAAATTTTCTTTTTCAGCATGATATGCTAATACACATTTTCTAAGAACCCACAGAATGGCATTGATAATTGACAACCATCATGAAAGCACAATTTAATAAATTCTGCATTCACTGCAAAGAATGAAAAGGAACTCACTGTCGGTAAAGGCATATTCTTCATTTTCGTCACTGTCATCAGACGGAGCTTTATAAGGAGGTGGAAGTTTCATTGGAGGTGGAGCGGTTCCTGGTCTCTGAAAATGCAAAATTTGAGAGAAAGGTTAATTGCCTTTGCACAGTCCTCTTCCTCAATGACAAACAGGATAAGAAGATAATCTAAATATTTTGACTGTATCCAATTTCAGTCACATAAGAAGGGCTGTGAAACAAATACAATTTGTCTTCTTATATTTATGTTATTATGTAAGTGACCCTGTGATATAAACATACTACTATAGAAAAATAGGAATTCAAAAGCAACATTTAAGACGGTTAACCTGCCCAGAAGAATACATTCCTTTCCCCAGTGAGAATGCCAATTATATATATTTTATTTACACTGTTATTAACCAAATAATTCAAATGAAAGACATTTCAAAATCAATGTAAAAACTATCCACTATATTAATTCTATAACTATTTAAACTGTTTACTCAATTGCAGAAGACACAGATCTCATTCTTATATAGTTGAAATGAAATACCAAGATTTTCTAACTGTAAAAATATTCATCTGTAATTTGCAGATAGTCAACATATACATTTTAAGGTTTTAAAAAACAAATCTTTATGATGAATATTTTTTTGCATTTCTGTAGACGTATTCTTTAAATTTAGCCACCAAATGATACAGCACATAAATATCTGCCTGAGACTTAAAGTAGAACAAAACTCTATGGTCAGATTACCTTCACAGAATGTAGACATTTTCTTGAACGCTGGGAAAAATAAAACATGCTGAAGTTTACAGAGAGATCCAAGCTGCTAAAAAGAATAGGAGCTGATAGATCCAAGCACTCCACAAATATCAAAATAACTGGATTAAGATTTGTTTGCTACAGGGTTTCAATAGAGTACATTCAATTATGCTTTATATGACAAAACCACTAATGGCAGGATACAATCCAGTAAATGTCCATTACAGAAAGCAGGCCTGTAATAAATTCCTCCAAAGCAGAAAACATTACCTGAGATCCACAAAGAAAAACACACACCCAAATTTATTTAAGATTAAACAACAAAAGAATACAGAAGTGTGATCATGCTACGTCTTTATTCTTGCTTGAAAAAACTTAAAAGTGGGTTAACTGAAGAGTCAAGAAGGTGCATGTATTCCTTTCAGTAAACCTTTTCCTCTGAACCAGATCATTCCAGGTCAAAGACAATACTTGGGACAAGGACAGACAGCTTTTAATATTAAGAGATATGAACTCTTTAATGGCATTTAAAAAACACATTTAAGAGGAAACTGTTACACCACTGATTTTATTAAAATTAACTTCTACCAACACTTTTTAAATTTACTTTTTAAATTTACATCCAAGTTAATTAGCATATAGTGCAATGATGATTTCAGGAGTAGATTCCTTAATGCCCCCTTACCATTTAGCCCCCCCCCGCCCCCCCTGCCGTCCCACAACTCCTCCACTAACATTCTGTTTGTTCTCCATATTTAAGAGTCTCTTATGTTTTGTCCACCCTCCCTGTTTTTATATTATTTTTGCTTCCCTTCCCTTATGTTCACCTGTTTTATATCTAAAAGTCCTCATATGAGTGAAGTCCTATGATATTTGTCTTTCTCTGACTAATTTCACTTGGCATAATACCCTCTAGTTCCATCCATGTAGTACCAACACTCTTAGAATATAGGATAAGCATGTCCTGGTCACCCTGTCGTTTGATTGTGGGTTGCCAGATACCTGGGGCATATTTCTACTGCTCATAAGGGAAGGTTGTAGGGAGGGCCAGGCTCTCTTGGTGGCAATGAAGGATGGAGCAAGGGACATACAAGGAGGCCAGGTGAATATAATCTCCATGAAAGCAGAGAATAGTAGTGTGGTATCCTTAGTTTCAAGAACAGTGCCTGGTATAAAGCAGGCCTCCCAACACTATAGTCTGAATGAGCAAATAACTGCTTGCCAGTCATGCTGCTTAGGTCTAACATATTAACTTCTAGAAAAATGACAGTAATGGAAAAGGTTCTTGTCCAATAGCATTGCATAGTAATTTTGTCTGGTAGAGATGCAAATTATTTTAGTCCTGTAAAAAGGATAACTCCAAAGGTTATAGCTTTATTGCCCTGTCAAGATGTTAACCAGTTTTGTATCTAAATTTGAATCTTACTCATGCATTCTCTGAACAACTAATAAATACTTCACTCTCTCCAATTCTCTCAGAACCAGGCTATCTTGGTGGTTCCCTCCTTAATGAGGTAAGTAAATAACTGGCCCCTGTACATATTACATAATTTCATAGGTCACTTGGACTGTGAATTATTTCCCATTAGCAGGAGTAGTAAATGGAGTTTGGGTTTTACAGTCTGACAATTTAGTGGTATTTGAGGACTCATTATATATTGGTTCTACGGGGATCCATTCTCTAGGTTGAGAGACAATTGAAAATAGGTTGTTAGTCCTTATTTCCCTGTTGGTGTTTTTGTGCAATAACAGGTCTTGAGTCCACTGGAAAGAATAGCTTTCTGACATGAAGACCAGTGGGTATGTACATTTCTATCTACATTTGTCCTATGACTCAAGCTATAGGGTAGAGGCCGAAAAAGCTCTGTGTATCTGAAAGTGAGAAAAGCCCCTACCTCTCATTGTGAGAAATATTTTCCTACCTTCAGAGGGTGCTAATAAATTAGAAAAAAAAAAATCTCTTTCTGATTGGTTTATAGAGACTAATAAGCATTATTTAAATCTAATATTCCCAGTTTTCCAGAAAATAGTAAAACTAACCTCACATGACCTTAGATGTGTCAGTCTTTTAACTGAAAACCAAAATACCTTTCCATAGAAACCACGAACTCAGAGGTATTTTAATATAACAATTCAGATTCACAAAATCAAAGTGATTTGGTGAATTTAGAAACAGCTATACTTTCTCCCTAATATCCTTGATCTTACTGATGTGGAGTATAAAGCAAAATAAGACTATAAAAACATTTACACCAATGTTGCATGATCCCCACATGTCTACATGCCACGTATGCATACATATAATATATAAAAGAATATCACAAATATTTACACATCGCAGAGTATTGTCAGCCAATTCTAAGACCTAGCACAATGTGGATTATAGTGATAGAAAACTGTATCACCTGCTACTGTTAAGAATAATCAAAGAGCACATCTTGTAACACTCTAAGTGCCACCAGGAGGGTCACAAAAGATCATTCTGATCTTTGCAAAAACCTTCATGAGGTTCTCCTTAGCCCCAGACTCGAGCAAGTCCAGATTTCTCACTTGAAATAGATGTGAGTCTTAACATCAACCTTATGAAGGAATAATTTACATACAATAAAATGTACTCATGGGGTGCCTGGGTAGCTCAGTTGGTTAAGTTTTCGATTTTGGGTCAGGTCATGATCTTGCGGTCCCTAAATTCAAGCCCTGTGTTGGGCTCCGTGCAGATAGCTCAGAGCCTGGAGCCTGCTTCAGATTCTGTCTCCCTCTCTCTCTGCCCCTCCCCCAGCTCATACTCTGTCTCATTCTCTCTCAAAAATAAATAAATGTTAAAAAAATTTTTTTAATGTACTCAGTTTACGTACTTACTTGGTATAGATACATTTTTATAAGTTTAACATGACTGTATTTTTTTTAATGTTTATTTACTTTTGAGAGGGCCAGAGAGAATGAGAGAGAGAGAGAGAGAGAGAGAGAGAGAGAGAGACAGACAGAGCAAGAGCAGGGGAAGGGCAGAGAGAGAGGGAGACACAGAATCTGAAGCAGACTCCAGGGTCTGAGCTATGAGCACAGAGCCCGACGCGGGGCTCAAACACACAAACCATGAGATCATGACCTGAGTTGAAATCAGACACTCAACTGACTAAGCCTCCCAGACGCCCTAACATGACTGTATTTTTAAGGACTATTATGTTTGGTTGGACACAATATTTGCATTTGGGTAGTACATAAAAAGAAAATAAAGAGAATAGGAGACCACTTCTCTGTGAAAGAACATCTCCTACTTGTATTAGTGTCCATGACTCCTTTAGAAAAAGAGTATATGAAGTAACACTGAAGCAAATTTTAGAAGGAAAATGCCAAGGAGTTACAAGCATATAGTGAGTATTAGTATGTCTATGAATCCTGATGGTCTGTCATTTCACACTCCGTGATGAAAAGCAGCCAAAATTTAGATTTCTAGCCTACATCTTTCCTAGTATTTGGTTTCAGGTGACATTTATTGTCTCTTTTAAGGTTGTAATTCTAGAGAATAAGCACTGCTTTTGTATTGAGGAAACAATGCATAAAAGGAATTTTATTTTACCTTATTTTATGAGAGAGTGTGAGCAGGGGAGAGGGGAAGAGGGAGGGAGGGAGGGAGGGAGAGGGGGAGGTAGAGAATTTCAAGCAGGTTCCACTCTTAGCATGGAGCCCAATGCAGGCCTCAATCCCATGGCTTAAGGACCATGACCTGAGCGGAAACCAAGAGTCGGATGCTCAAACGACTAAGCCACCCAGATGCCCCTAAAAGGAATTACTTCTAATGATGACAATTTTAAAGGAGATTTTTTATTTTATTTTATTTTATTTTATTTTATTTTATTTTATTTTATTTTATTTTATTTTTATTATAGGAAATTTATTGTCAAATTAGTTTCCATACAACACCCAGTGCTCATACTAAAAGATGCCCTCTTCAATGCCCATCACCTACCTAAAGGAGATTTTTAAAGAGATAATATAATTTGTAATCATCTGACCTCCCAACTTTGGGAAGTCTGTCTGCCTGTGCTCCCATAGTATCCCAGGCATGCTTTTTTCATCGTAATTGTACTTTTGGTTATTTCACTATGTGTCACATTCATCTGTGCACCTCTTGGAGTAAAGGTGCTTTGTTATTTTAGAATGTAGTATAGTGCTTAGCATGTAAACTATAATTTCAGATAAGAGACGTGGTAAGGTACATCCTGTAACCACTGAAACATCATCCCGTAAGGGAGATGCTGATACTGATCTGACTTCTCTCACTGCAATGTTAACTCAGTGGTTAGTCATTCTCTGAACCAAAGAACTCAGCTGGACAGA